ACTGAGGGTGCGAGCGTTTGTAAAAATGGTCAGGATATTTTCAGAGACAGAGTTTGCTTTTTTTCCTTTAATAATTATTTCCCCCTTTTTTTCCACATAGCAACGCTTTGCTGTTCAATTTTCACCTCCATCTGTGTGATTATTAATCAGATCACACATCAATTGCCAGAACCAGCAAAGAAATTCAGCCTGTAATAAAACTGTCATGTGCTGTGGTATAAAGACAGATGTTGCCAGTTGTGTGATAACATAATTAAACTGTTCTGTGAGGGATTCCATAAAATTATTCAAATTGGACGAGCACTATCATTTTACCAATAAGCAATTTAGGGCAATATGCAGTGTCATAACACTGATGTTATCCTCTCTGCCAGATTTTCCAATAAGCCCGAGCCTTTGCTTGGCCTCCTGTGACAGTATGAACAGTATACATGAAGATACGTGAGAGCTGCTAGAGATGCTGGAGTGTCCTTTCAGTGTGATGCACAAACCGCTACACCACGAAGCCACTATACTGCAGCGAAGCGATTGGTCAAAAAGCACACACACACACAGAGAGGACGGCTTTGTCATTCATGTGAAATATTCAGCATTGCACTGCACACGTCTATCTTATTCTGCTGTAGAGCAAATACAGAGATACTGGCAGGAATTCAATTCAAAGGCGCAGCGATAAGTGTGCGTTCTTCTTGTGTAACAGTGTATGTATTTCAATCTGGGCATAGCACGCTCTCTCTTTGCCCTCAGCTCTGCTGCAGAGTGCATGCGATTAGCAGAGATCTGAGGCAGAAAATGCTCTCTGGTCTCCTCTCTGACCTGGTGCTGTTAACTCTCTCAGTCTGACCACTAGCCCATAATGTGGACTGGACGCCCAAAACCAGCAGGTCCTACACTTAAAGGCCTGACCTTTGCAACTCCATTCTACGTGAGCATATATATACTATTCACGTCTGTGTGTGCGTACTGGGAGAGCAAGGCTAATCATGGATCACTTGGCCATCAGAGAACAGTTAAGATTTGCAGTTCCACCTTCACAAGCCCCCACAAGGGACAGTGTATGATTTGAATTATGCAAGCAGAGGATGTGTGCCCACTCAGCTCTTTCTGTGGCCACTGTTATGGCCGTCAACCTCACGAAAGACACCTCAACCACACAGGCAGAGAGGAGGAAAACGAAAGAAGTAGCTAGCCGGTCTTATCTTTCAATATGTAGAAAATCTTTAAAAGCACTTGTTGGACAGGGTATGTTAGATGGATGTGCATGCAATAAAAGAAAAGCAGTTATTAATAATTGTTTTAGGTATTTTCTCTCGTGTGAACACCAGCCTAAGTTTATTAAAAGGACTCTTGTAAAGGACAGGATATTAATATTTAATGCTCTACAGTTGCATCACACGAACCAAATTTAGAGCGAAAGAGTAACTCGTGTGTTTAAACAGGTAAGATGCTTTGCTGAAAATGACCACACATCACAGGAAATGTGAATATCATGAAGACAGCAGCTCTAGAGCTAACAGGGTGTCCTTGAGAATATTACTGTCACCGTGCATTTATGTGACAACTACAGCTGCACAACACCGTTTCCTGTTGCAAAATCATTTAAATCACAAATCACATAACAGGTTATTGCAAAACTTTTTCATACTATTGCTTTTGTTTTATTTTCGCCCCTGCAGTATCTTCACTTCCTCATGTGGATAACGTTAAAACCACAACTTCTGCAACACAAACAAAAACAGAAAGCAAATAAACAGTGTGGTTCAGGGGTGCAGACACGTGTGCTATGAAAAGAAAAAAACTGCACATGCTATAATAGAGACATTTATTAATAATACATGGGTAACAGTGAACACAACGAGCACAGCAACAAGATGCACAACAAATGTTTACAAGGGCACCCAGTTGTCTAACTATTACAACACAACAGACAGGACATTGAGTTCCTCCTATAGAGAAATCTGCTGAATTTCAACAGCATCTTGGGGAAAAAAGAGAAGAAACGCAACACCTTTTTCACCCTAAAAAAATATTTGACTTACTAATAGACATGCTTAATTCAAGCTTATGGTCCACTTCCCCCAAATCTGACTAGTCAACAAGATGAATTCCCCTGTCAGAATCAAGATGATCAAACAGATTACAATTATTTCATCCCCCATCTTTATTAATGAGGACTGTCTTTCATAGTTATGTTCCCTAATAAGAATAAATGATATGCCACTGCCAGGTTTGTTGTTCCGGCTCACTCGAGGGACTCTCAGACATTTGCACTTTGAGTCTGAAAACATTTTAGATTGATTTTTGCGTCACCTAAAGGGGTAATGGCACCTTGCATGTGTTGTGGAGAACAAAGAGCGCAGGAAAAAAAACTCTCAGTGTGTCAGTTAGAGGCATATTAGTGCAAGCCACAAATAAAACTTAAAAGAACGACTGTGAAATGTCACAAAAGTAAAAAGTTATCGAGTAACTGAGTGAAGATCGTAATGCCCCGGGTACAATTAACATGGTTCATGGTGCGTGAGGGAAAATCCTCGGCTAGGCTAATGGGAGAATAAAAAGACTGCCTGCCTGTCTTGCCAGTAACACTACCATGGTAAGTAGCCTATCAAAGTCCAGTGCCAGGAGCTGAGAGTGAGACATCTCGTCCTTCGTTCCCATCCGCGCGTCATTTATCACAGGCAACAATTAATACACCTCCCTGCATGCGGGCCACACAAATTAACCACTGGATTTGTTCAAACGGCATGAACCAGGAATTATTTCCACATTTGCTACAGTAGAGAGAATGTTTCCGCAATATATGGAAGCAGGATGGAGAGAGTTGCTGGTTTCTCCTTTCTTTAAATGCCAGGGCAGATGCTGGAGAGCAATAGTTCTTTTTGGACGACTTGAAAACAGGGAGCATGCTTGGACGACTGGCTCTATTCTAGTGGGAAGGCTTTATTTCCATCCCTTGTTGGTGTCAAGTGCACATCCATGACATTTTTCTCGCCCGTTCTCTCCCTCTCCCCTGCCTCGCATTTATCAAAGTTGTAACCCTGTTGTCTTTGCAGAGCGAATCAGAATGTGCCCCTGGCAAAGAATGAAGGAAAAGTCAACAGGAATTAAGTTTCACTGCAACTGTTTACTCAACTGTGGCCTGCAGTTATTGAAATTTTATCCATGGTTTTGTGTGACTACTGCAGTAATGAATTCAGTATGGCTGTGATTTTCTCACTGACGACATGCTCGTTCGGAGCTGGAAAAAAGATGGGTGGGAGGTGGGGCCTGGGGTCTAGCTGGGGTAGTGGGGATGATCTGGAGAGGCCTAAAGGCTTCACAGACTAAGGCTGAGAATCAGAACACACACTGACTCATCCTTTGTACTTACTGAACAATCAACACTTCTTCTGCCACTTACAAAGAGGAAATGGAATTAACAGGGGCATCTTGCACCAAAACAAGCACCACACTTCTAAGATGACGACACCTAAAGCATTGTTTTGCTTTGAGTGTATGTTTGACCAATTAATTATATTTACATACACCCATACTCGACAATAAAAAGGGAAAAAACAAACTTTTTTTTAAACAATTCAAAAACATGACTACTGACAAATAGTGACCTTACAGGGTTGTGCCAGTCCAAAGCCCAAAAGCTCCTGTAAAATTAGTGACTTATTGTTCCTGATTTTACAGATAAATAAATGCTAAACAAGTTAAAATTTGTAGTAAAGAATCATGCAAACGTTATGACTTCATTTAATTTGACCTGTTCAATGCTTACATGGATTAAAACATCCCTTCTGATATATCAATACATGGTAGTTCCCCTTTCGCGGTGGTACTGGGAAATAAATCCTCCAGTATCTCTGTTCTCCTGTGTGCAGAGCTACAGACTGGTACCCCTGCTGTTCTGCCTGTGCTAGCACATGATCAGCAATTAGCATTATAGCGAGGGGAAAGTGCTATAAGTGCATATAGCTGGTGTTACAAAGTTCCTGGCAAAAGCCCTGGTCATCTTACTGCTGAAGTGAAACCTGAGCTACACATCTGAAATTTCACAATAAAATTTATGTTATGTCTAAACGTCACCTAAAATGCCAAGCAATGACTCTTTAAACGGCTAAGCTATTTTGTCCTATTATCAAAATGTTCCCATCATTTCCGAAAAACAGAACTGTTCATCAGTAGCCAAATATCACAGCATCAGAACACCGTGATGATTGTGTTCAAAGATGATAAATGATAATACTGAGTTATTGCTCAGCTCTATGTGTTACAATGCCATTTCCCTCTTGTTCCATGCTACAGCTTTGTTTGCCTCCCTGTAAAAATGCTGATGGATGCGCTGTGACAACAGACAGCGGCACAGAGCCGTGCATCATCACCAAACAGCTCCTGACAACAACCCTAGTTGTGCTGTCGCAAAGACCAAGATAGTAGAAGACACACTGATCTTTTCAGTGTTGTTTCTTTAAACGCAGTGTCGTGTGCCACACATAACGCTGACACCAACAGAAAGAGCTTGTCTGTTTGCCTCAAGTCTGAGATGGTGAAAATGTTTCGGCTTCACTGACGATAACGCCGGCGTCTGTCTCCTCACCTCATTGGTTAGTACAGCAGAGTGTGGCATTAGTTGTGAGTGTGAGGTGTGTTTACAATGAGCCGGAGGAAAACGCTGTCATCCAATTGGATGTCACAGTTCCTTAACTGTCTACAAAATCCTGTGGCACCTACATACTTAAAATATGTCAGAACATCATAATAAATATTTGATGGAAATGCAGATGCTGCATGCTACGATAAACACGTTTGCAACCAAACAATCACACAGAAAGAGCACTCCTCGTCTTTTAAATATTCAAAAAGGGCCTCAGTATACATAAATAATAATAATAATGTGTTTATGAACTAGATGTACTTTGAGGAGGAATTAAATATTAAGAGGCACTTTAAGAGGTGGATCGGCCTGCTGTTGACATGGCTTAATAAAGTGAAGACAGGTGTGAATGGTCTACCTGGTGCTGCTGGAGATGCAGGAAATCTGCTGCAGTCACTTCCGCTGACGGCGCGGCACTTTTTGGTCGCCCCTCTCTGGGTACTCCCTCCACGCTCGCTCCTCCATTCTCATTGGCTGGGCCGTTGCTCGTCGCCTCCGTCCCAGATTCTTGCATCATGACTTAAAAACCTGAGAGAAGGCGCAGAAGAAGAGAAAACAGGGACAGAGACAGAGAGAAGCAGCTGTTAAAACACACTGCAATGAGGTCGCATTTCAACTGTGGGCCAAACTATAAACATCTGTCATATTCTTCCCACACAATTTCACTTTTGTTGCAGGTTTCCCTGTTGGTTTGTGCTTCCCCATGTCTTGTTTGTTTGCGTGTAGCATATGCAATGAGGCAAACACACACACACGCATTCACAGGCTGCCTCTAAACACAGTAATGAACAGCTCCTTTGTTTTGTCTTTTCCAGTGCAGATCCTTTACAGATGATAAGTCCATACCGGGCAGGAGAAAAGCAAGTGGGTTTTGTTTGTATCCTTCAGTATAGGGTATATGGAGAGCGCTGGGGGGGGCATGGTGGAGGGGTTGGGGTTCGGCACACATGTAGAGGAACCCAACCTGCGTTGAGTGAGAGCAGAGGAGCCCAAGAAAACACTGGACCTCCAAAACAAAACACTTTCTATGGAAATGGATATATTTACTTGCATGGCTCCCTGAAGAACCACGGCAGAATGGCTTTTTAATGGGAAACAGAGCGACTGTGTGAGGCCTGCCAAAGGATCTCCATGAGAAACATCCAATCTGAGGCTGAACGAAAACAGTCAAATCCTTGAGGGGTGCTCAATTAACACCAAAACAAAGGTCTGAATATAAATAAATCCTTTTGCATTGGAAAAAAATGTTGACTTTCATAACTTAATCTAACTGAAAAGGGTAAAATACAAACACTGGCAGTCGTTTTAAGCACCACTGCACGCTTTATGTAAAATTATGGCAGCAGCAATCAGTGAATACACAGCTATTTGCTTACAAGATATGTCCTCAGTTTTGTTTTTGGATACACAAAAGCCAGACAGACATGCCATCTATCCCAGCACACCCCCTCTGTCTCTCTGGGGATAAGTGCCAGTGACACTGGTGCATATCTGTGCCTGAATTCCTCAAATCAGTGGAATGATTTACAGCTATTGTGTGCTGGTCACAGGCTTCATTGCTGCAATGCATCTATCCCCCCAATTCCAGGGCAGTTAATGAAGCTGACCAAGTCAGGCAGAAGCAAATTAACTTGGCTGATTAATTATTTATATGAAGCAGAATAAATGCCTTTAAAACACTGGGCCTCATCATGAAAGAATGTGAAAGTGGAACTAAATGCAGATTTATGGTGTTGCATTTAACGCATGTAATAGGAAGGCCAGTCTGAGTTTATATGTGCTCAGGTACACATGCACAGCGTGTCCAGAGATCCCATCTAAACAAGATGCAGACACACACCCAAGGGGACACACACTCAGGCTGACAGACAGGAAATTGGGGTTGACAACTTGTCACAAAAGAATATTTACAGAGCAGAGGTGAGATAATAATCTAGAAATGGGATTATTTAAAAAAATAAACAGTGGTGTGAGGAGAACTGCGCTTTCAAAATCAGTTTTTTTTAGGGACAGGCTCGTAGCTCACTATCATCAGCAGCAGTTTGGGGCTAAGAGGAGCTAAAACTGTACCAGAACACAAAGCAAACTCCAAAGAGCATTATAGTTTACATTTCCTCTCAGCCCTCCTCGCAAGAAGCATGACTGAATGAGTCATCTGACACTGTGGCCTGTGCCGGTTCAGTTGTGTGTCACAACGCCCCCACACTCAGGGGCCTGTCTGAGCAGCTTGGGCCCAGCCTACAGGGCCTGTTCTTTGGGCTGGAGCTTGAGCTGGCCCCCCTCTCCCTCCAGACAGATGTTGACCCGGCTCACCCTTCCAGTCTGGCACAGCCTCCCTCCATAATGGGATTTTCTAAACAAGGAGTGAGCAAGAGGAATACTGTGGGATGGGACCCAGCCAGCCACAACTCCATCTACAGGCCCCTGCCTGCACCAACTCCCCTTCTGAGACACCAATTAGAAACACACATTCTCAGGCGAAATTAAATGCCATTTGAAATAAACCATGTGCTGACGTTATTCACCCCCACTTATTTTTCAAATAAAAGATATTTTCCACTTGCGGGAAAAAAAGAGCTGTCTTTTTCTTTTTTTTTCCCTCTCTAAAGCTACATAAGGGGGGGGTAATGGCTATTATACATGCACTGTCATTCCATGCAAAAATTTTCATAATTGTAACGGAAAGGCGTAAATTTCCAAATGCACAGCATCTCCAAAAGTAATCAAGAGAATGAGCCGCGGGGCTATTTTAATGTATGCAAAACTAGTGACCCACAATAAAGGAGAGGAAGGCTACAATGAATGCAAAGTAATGCGCGCATGCTTGCGACCGGCACTGATGAGGGGATGGCTAAAATTAACACCCAATTAATTTTCGAATTGACAAACAAATGAAACCCATAAATCTAGTTTCTCATTAATTTTAGCACAGAATAATTCAAAGCTGCAATATCATGAGTGAAAAAATTGGAGGGAAAAAAGAAAATGGAAAATGGGCATTATCCATCATAAATATCAAGCAGATAGGAAAGAGCCTTATTAGAGAGTTGTGCTGATAACAATGTTAATCTGTGAAGCACTGAGGCACGGACACCATCATCATCAGCTGAGGCCCGGGCAACTTGGCCACGTGACTCGGCCCTGAGTTTGTTTATCTATGTATTTATTTTCACTTTGCTCTGGGGAAAGCCTTGTGTGTGTGTGTGTGTGTGTGTGTGTGTGTGTGTGTGTGTGTGTGTGTGTGTGTGTCTGCGATGATGATGACGATGACTCGAAAAGCTCCAAGTTTTTCCATTTGTTCCATTTATACACCACGTGCAAATTCAACTGTCATTATGGGTCAAGCATCATGCTAAATGGGGTGTAGTTACTCGGTTTAAGAACATATGCATTCGTGGTCCAAACACAAACATTTCAACATAATAAAATACACAAAAGGAGACGTGAGGGGAAAAAAAGAAAAAGAAAAGCTCTCTTATTATTAATGGAGCATGTCAGTTTTTTCGGAGCTGGAAAAAAAGTTTAAAAAAACAAAAGAGAATGAAAATAATGGAAATTCCAGGAGATCAAAACAAGGCAACAACAGTTTGTACAAAGAGAACTAGCTGTGCTGTTGATTATTAGATGCCTGCCTGGTCTTTAGGGGGGAGTTGCTTGCAAAATAAAACAAAGTGTTTGGAACAAACACTGGATAATAAAAAAAAGGTCAGAGTTCCTGTTTGTTTACAGTTTGTTTTGTTTTCCCTGCTTCAAATGGCATAGGGAGTACAGTACAAACAAGAGTCACATGGGTCTCCCACCTGACCAGACAGGTTGAAGGTTAAGAACAGCCAGCGGGCCAGAGCTCATCACCACAATGGAAATCCAATGCCTGTCCCCCTGTCATGCCTGCCCGGAATTCAACAGCTCAAACGAGTCAGCGGTGGATTCAAGGTAGGGCTGGTCCGCGCAGCTGTGCTCTGACCCTTCTCCGTGTTCTGTTTTTCTCTAATGCTCATGACAGCAAAGCCTCGGCAGCCACCTGCTTCGATTCGCCAAGTTCTCACACAGACGTTGTTTACAGAAGCACACAACAAAAGCACAACATTTCTTGGGTGGGAGATAATGACATACAAAAGAGGACACAATAGGGAGAAGTTCACTTTAGAGCTGTTTAGGTTCAGCTTGGTTGCCAGACTAGACAACACATCGGCGTGCACCAAAGGTGCAACAACAGAATGCTTCTGAAGGTTGCTGAACAGGCTTGTGTTTTGCTGTATTTTGGCTCCTGATGTGAGGGAAAAGTCGAAAGACAAACACAAGCTGCATGTTAAATAATCCATTATCGCAGCCCTCATCACTGATAACAAACTACTCTGAGTATCTCTTGAAAATATTCCACTGGACAACACAACACGGAGAAATTGGGCTAAATTCCAACAAGCTTTATAAACTGCACTCCCACTCCCTCATACATATCATCTCCACACAGCAGAACCACCTCAGTCACAAAGCCTGAAGGTGGATCCAGTTGCCGCTCCTCTTCTGAGAGAAACGAACGGCCGTGGTGACATTCTGCCAAAGGAGACTTCACAGTCAGACCAAACAACCGTGTAATCTTGTCAGCCACTTCAACCAAGTCACAGATAAGCAAAGCATATCTCCAGACCTCTCTGACAATATAGAAGTAAAACACGCTGCACCCACCCTTCTGCAAATAATACCCCCATTGCAAATCCTAGATTTCTGCTCCACAAGAGACACAGAAGTTCTTCCCAGACCTTGTACAGGGTATAAGCAGGCCACTGACACCAGCAAACAAAGCAGCTGTTTGTTTAATAAGTGATTGCTGCCATGGCTACAGTAAACACGAGGAGCAAGGGTTTGTGTTTATGAACAAACACATCTCCTTGCAGGAGCCATTTAATATTAACCAGGTGAAATGATCAGCCAATTTCCTAGGTGACACTAGGGGCAGGCAGAGTGTAAACAGGTTCTAGGAGGGGAGAAGGAGGGGCGAGGCTTTAGGGAATCAAGGTCGATGCAAACGCAGCTTTGACTAGAATAAACAGCGAGGCAAAAGTCAAGATAAACAAAAAGTCATTCTTCTGACATTTCGAGACGCATTAGGCTGGCGTGTTGCAGCTGCTCGCAAGCCACCGTGAATGAGAACAAGATGGGGGTGACGGGCGGGGTGGGCAGCCATGGGGGTGGTCTCCTATGGAAACACATCATTGTCAAGCAAAGCAATCGTGTGTTTCTTCCAGGCCCAACAAACAGTGGCGCTTCACAACAGCACAGCGAGGAACTTGTAAAAACATGTTAAACATTTACCTCATTCAATTATTCAGTAACCGGGTTTGTGGAAATAACAAAGGAAGTCTGAGGGCTCCCAGAGATGGCACTCACTACACCAGGGCATGGAGAGAAAAACAACAAAGAAGGAATTAGGTGGAACTGAGCAAGAAAAGATGTTATCCTTCATAAATCACAGCGCCTGGTTTTGATTACTTGATTTATGTGTGACTTGAATAGTAA